ACGCATGCATAGCTGAGAGGGGAGTACATGGGAAACTTTAGAACTAAGTTATGCTTATGACTGGACCCCAGAGACACCAAGGTCTGAACTCCGGGATCCTTCTGGGTGGAGTGACACACCACTAAGTGCTGAGCCAATCTGCTTGTTGTGTTTTAGTCTCTCTGAATTACCCGTGTTATACCAAAGCTGCTATATCTTAAATTAGAGTCATTCCCAGACATTGCTGTCAGGAAAGAGCCTTTTCATACATATATAAAATACAGTCCTGGCTGAGTTTTCTTTGCAAATAAAATCACTAAGTGTCTCCTTGGCAGATAAGCTATAGTAGATCTTTTGCATCTGTTTCTTTTATTTCTGACAATGGATTCTGTAGCATCTTCAGCTAAGGGGAAAGAGTGAGACTGGATTTTGCGAGTGACTTCTGTCTGTTCCCCTCTCCCTCCAATCTGTTTAAAGGTTTTCAAAGGCTGTTTTCTCCAGAGCTGGCGGACTCTACTGTGCGCACCAGCATGCCAGCTTTCAGCTCCTTGAAGACTTGCAATGTACAAATGAAACCCATAGCTCATTACTGTTTTTGATGACTCACATCACTGTTGCACACCAAGGCTAAACACTGTAAAGCAAAAGGGTGCATTTATATCAAAGGGATCATAAAACAAAGGGCAATAAAAGATGCAGAGTAGAAATTTGCCCAGGAGGGGAGAAAGGCGGCTAACAATCTGAAAGCCTGGATTCAGTGGACTTTGATAGGCTGAATTCCCAAACCTGAAATGAATTCCAAACGTTTCTGGGTCAGCGCAGTCCTAATTGAATAAGCGTACAGTAGAACTGCATTGGGAATACCATATACAGCCTTTGGAACTGAGAAACAAAGGGCAGACTCAAGCTGGTGATGTACTTCCTGTTCAGAGGAAGGAGCATTCTGTGCCAGAGAACATCTACGTTACCAGCAGAGAGTTTGGATTCTGCAAATTTTGGAAAACTTAGTGGGTATAGCCTGTCCCAGTGCCCCCTCCCGTGGAGTGGAAAGTGAAATGGAGAAAACCCTTCTTTGCCTTAGAACAAATTTAGTGTTTGTCCGTTTCTCTAGCATCCAGGAGAACATCAAAAGTGCCACAGAGGTTGTCACGAAGGACCATTCTGATATCTTCTTAATCAGAGAGGTCAGAGCTACAGTCTTGATCTCCACTACTCCTCTTCCCTCCTCCCACTTTCCAAGCATGAAAGATTCACCCATAGCACACAGGCTTTCCCTGCTCAGGATAGACTGTCATTGGGTAAAGGTCACAATCTCGGATTCTGTCACCACTAGATGTCAGGTCAAGTTAGAGGAGTTTTTGCATCTAAAGATTTGGAGAGAGAGGTTTCAACAATGGGTGTGTTAATCGGTTTATACAGAGAATCATTTTAGGGGGAAGATGAGAGTAAGGAATGGGGGTAGACTGAGGTGGGGAGCAATGACCAGAAAAGTCACAAGGACAGAAGTGCACAAGGTCTGTCCACCGTTAAGAGAACAGGATGGTATTAAGACTTCATTTGATTCAAATGATAATCCAAACTATTTCCAAAGATGACAATTAAGCAACAAATCCAATTGAGCCTCACTGTGAAACACAGTATATTGTAGCATGTACCAGGAGCATTTAAAAAAATTTGAAACAAAACTAGATTTTTAAACATTTAGAAAAATAGCATTTCTTCTTTTGCTAAAACTTGCATTTGCCGTTGATGTGTCTTTTGAGTGACCAGATCCAGATTTTCACTCGGATGTGATTTTATTTTTAAACACAGCATGTGGGGTTGCAGGCAGGGCCAATAGAAATTAATGGAATTTTGCCAGACATTTGTATTGTCCACAGAATACAGAAAAATCACCAACGTTCTGCAGAAAAAAATTAAACAAATTCTGTTTATTGGAAATTAACTCCCTATGCTTGCCTGTCCCCTCCGCCCCTCCAGGAGCTGCTACTATTGTGCGCTAAGGGAGACCTTTAGCTTAAGGCCTGGTTTATGCTGAAGGACCAAGGTTCCTAATGTAAGTTCGGCGTGCGTGTGGTTTATCTCTAGTACTTATTGCTTTCTTCAGCACGTGTATTTGTAACACCTTGGAAGCATAGTCATGGTATTTTGCATTTGCTACATCTTAGCAGCTTACACTCTGCATGTCCCTCATTCCTCTGTCATTCGTTTACCTAATTTTGCTTGTTGGATGAAGCAATCAAGTGAAATTGACATATTCTAATAAGATCCCCTCTATCAAATGGAGGGCATATCAAATGGAGGCAAATGGGCTGCAGTTGCAACCTAAACATTTTCACGCTGATGATGGTAAACATTTTCTCTCACTTTCGTTGCCATGGCATTGCTTCTACTTGAAAATAAACCTTTGGATGATCACGTCAAATGCAAGGAACAGTTGGAGAAGGATACTGAAAGGAACAGGAAGAAGGAGGGTTCAGATTCCAGCTGACAAGCACTAACTTGTTATTTCTCTCAGCAGAGACCATCAGAAATTTTATGCTAGCCTTTGTCTGACTTGTGACTGGAGCTGATATTCCTCTTGAAAAGGCTTCATTTTTCAAGGACTTTTTTATGCCAATATACAAAGGAAGGTGGAACTCTTCCAAATCCTGAACAGTTTAGAAATGTTTACCTTCCATGGCTCTCACTAGAAGACAGAGAATTTATTTTTTCAAACAGTCTGATCCTCAGGTCCACATAATATTGGATAAAACTACAGATTGTGTGGTTGAAATGTACTTGCTATCCCTTCACCCTTAAAGAACCAGTTAAAGCAACCTAGTAAGCACTGAATTTCCGGTCAGAGTAAACTATTAGAATGTTGAATTTGGTATTCTTTGTTCATGGAGGAAGAAATTCAGATTGCTCCTTGATGGGTATGTGTCCTAATGCCATCTGTCTGACTCTATATGCATCCGAAGAAGTGGGTTGTAGCCCACGAAAGCTTATGCTCTAATAAATTTGTTAGTCTCTAAGGTGCCACAAGTACTCCTGTTCTTTTTGCGGATACAGACTAACACGGCTGCTACGGCTGCTACTCTGAAACCTGTCTGACTTGTGTACAATATGTGGTTTTGTTTCCATTCTGAAAACATACCCATCTTTATTTGACAACACAAATAACTCTCATACAGAAAGCGTTTTGCCCGATGACACTGTGCTCAACATGCATGTGTGAGCCTTACAGGCTCATTTCTATTCTTGGGTCATGGCTGGTCCTTACTGATGGGGAAGATTGTCTTTTCATTTTCTGAGTTTGTCCTTACAGTTCCAACTGCAAGGACAATAGAAATGTAGAGAACTAACCAGCCTGGCCCACTTGTATGCTTCTTGCTTACTGTCTTCCTAGCTAGATGATCTGAAGATGGATTGGTTTAGATTTCTGCACCTCTTCAGGGATTAGGGGTTTCAGACCTAATTGAACAGACCCTTTTATGTTGCCTTTTTTATGTAAGAGATGATAGCTGCTGTGGAAAGTGTCAATCTGGAGCTGGATGTTTTGTCTTTTCTTCTTTTCTTTTTTCTTTCCTTTCCTTAGTAATTGAAGTTCTAGACTCAAAGCACCTACTGCTTTTGGAGAGAAGCATAGCTACTCATTCAGCATGGATCCTAGACTAAGTAGTATTTCATATAATTTGGACCCTGATCCTGCAAACAGTTGTGTGTGCTTAACTTTACTGCTGTTCCTAGTCCCACTGAAATCAACAGCAGTATTCACAGTAGGAAAGTTAAGCATGCACGTGTGTGCAGGATCACGGCTGTGAATGGAACTCATACCCATCCACAGTTAAAACTCTGCAAGCACCTGGCTATTAAAATCTTCCATCTTGTGCATGTTCATTCTGGTATGTTTCAGACGTTTGGTGGACAAACCAGGGAACAGCAGAACCTACGTTAGATGCCTCAACAGGAGATGTGCAGGGTGCTCTTTGTTGTATGAAGATCCTTAGGGACTTTCCAAGGTCCACCGCTCTAGACCACCTTAAATCTTTCTTATTTTATAAATCTGTTGTACGTTGCTGTACATGGCATCTTACAAACAGACTTGGCCCTGTCCTGTAGAGATTACAGTTGTGTGTTCCAAGAGAACATTAATGATATATGCATGTGTCTGAAGAGTAGGCTTGCTTTCAGTTTATTGTGCACACATCTTTTGATCCTGCTTTTATTTTTCCTTTTTAAAATCAGTTCTGTTTGTGGTTTTACAAGCTAAAGTTGTTTCATGTGCTTAAACACAACGGCACTGGTAGAAAGAGATTGCACAGGCCACTATCTTTTGACATGTGACTAACTTGTCAATATTGGTAACCTGGCATCGTTGTTAGAACATGAGACTGTCTAGATGTTTATGCTGAATGAAATTTTCCAATCCCCTAAATGACTTAGATGCTGAAGTCGCATAGACACTTTTGAAAATTCTACCCAAGATGCTCATCACCGAGTGGCTAACCTGAATGCTGCTCTTTGTGGTTATTCAGCAAAGACCAAAACACCATATGGTGAACACGTTTCTTTTAAACGTATCAATAAATGTCATTGACTTGTTTCTTAAATATATGTACGGTGGCACAAGTGAATTTGGGGAAGGGATTTGAATGAGGAGAGGATACGTGCTGGTGCCCTAGCTCAGAAAGGGCCAGGTGAAGCTCTACGAGATCTTTGGACGAAAGGTGCCTCGTAGTGGTTTGGGTGCTGATGCTTGATATTGGATATAACCTGTTACTACAGAAACCTCTATGCAAAGTTCGACTTTTCAGCTGCCCAGGGAATAGGTACTTTCCATGCATTTTTAATGGATGAGATTAAAGCAACACCCCAGTACATTTGGAGTTCAGTGCCAAGAGTGATGCCCAGAGCAACACATCACACTTCGGGGAAATACTTTGACACTGAGAACTGAAAAGGGAATGGTGGGGGGATAAAGAATTTGATTGTGGATGTCTTAATAAGTGTTTTTTTTTTTTTATGACTTCCTCCAGCTTGACCTTACCAAACCAATAGAAGATCAGGGCCCGTTGGACGTGATCATACATAAACTGACGGATGTCATCCTTGAAGCAGACCAAAATGACAGCCAGTCGTTGGAGTTGGTTTACAGGTTCCAGGTGAGTGTCATTTTTCACAGCCCTTGTGCGCTTAAGGTGGAGGCAAAAAGCAGAGCAGGAGGCTCGGCTCTTAGTGTTGCCAGTTTAATCCTTTTCCATGGAGTAGGGACACTTGACTAAACCAGCTCCCTGTGCGCTGCTGCTCACCTACTGAGAGCTCCGGGAAAGGTGGCTTGATTGAGCTAGACTGGATGCCATAGCTCTGGGTAGATTTTACATTGTGGAGGTAAGCAATGCAATGCCCAGTTCACCCTGGCGTCCTCCTGTCATCATCCTAGAAACATTGCTACTCTGTCCAAAGAGGAGTAGGTGTCTGTAGGGTTTTCCCCAGATCCCTGAAGACAGCCGTGGGCCAAAGATACGTAACTAAACAATTTAAAATATTTTTTTCGTGTGCCAGATTTCTCCCACTTCGGAGGGGTGCATAGAAATCCTTAGTTGGCTTGTCCCCAAGCTTTTCCTATCGAGGAAGCCCTTGCTCTCTCTATCCCCCTAGATTTATAATTCACGCAAAGCAGAGCCGTTGTGAATTTTTCTGTAGTGTTCTGTCTCCGGTTGAGGAGACTTTTATTTATTTCTCCCCGGGAAGCTTACAGTATAGGTCAGATATGCAGGAAAGCCATGCAGACACGTTAGTGATGAAAATAGTATCCAGAGAGCAGGTTTTTCCAAAGATCTCCTCCCATCAGTAATGGGAATGCTGTTGAGTTCACAGCTTTAAAAGGAATTGTTTCTAGCTGGTGACTTTGAGCAATGATGCATGTTTCTCTTTCAAAGAGAGAGGCAACGTTCAACACAGCATCACAAGAAATTGCTGTGTATGCTGTTGACATCAGCTTTAAAAACCACAAAGCACACAACTTTGGCAGCTTTGCACTCCTAGGAAAGGGTGTTCTTTCTGCTCTGCTTAATGAGTTACAAAATCTTCCCCCTTCTCCTGCCCTGGTCAAACTCTTAGGCGAAATAACAAGTTTGATTTGCAGGGATAGCCCCTCTAGTTCTGATTTGTTGAGGAGAAGACGAATATTTATCACAGACTAAGAGAGATATCCATTACCTTTTGCACTTGGAAATGGTGGGAGTTACTGAGAAAAGATTTGGAGGTGGGGGAGATTTCAAATGCCTCTCCCTGGCACCCATACAGCACTTGACTTTCTCAAATATCAGCTAACTAATTAATCCTCACAACACTTGTGTGAGGGAAGTACTATCCCCACTCTGCAGATGGGGAAACTAAGGCCTATCACTGGACGAAAGCTTATGTTCAAGGTGGAGCATGCTAGAGAGTCAGCAGGTTGATGTATGGACTCAGCAATCCGTTGCTGAGATTAAGGAGTTGCAAAATTCAGGGTTTGGGTTTCTCTTCCTCCCCAGCATATACACAGGCAACCTCAAATTGCAGACCCAGAAGTTCAGCCAAAAGACAACTGCCCAAAGATAACTAATTAATTGTTGAAAATTCTAGCTGTTAGAAAAGACAGAGCATGTGTACCTTTGTGATTCCTAAGGGAAAGGGAAGATCAGAGAGGGTTTCCAGCATTAGACACTAGCAGAGATCTTCATCAGCTGCTGTGGAATCCAAAGGAAAGAGAAAATACGTGAAACTAAGCAGTTTTAATTTATACATCTACACGAGTGTGTGTATGTATGTATATAAAATATGGAGAGATTTCGATGCATTATTTGTTCGCTTCACTGACTTTTTTTTTTAATCATATATAACAAATACTGTAGTTTAGATTTATACCTAATTTCCTGTGGAGAAAAATAGTGGTTGACCATGCTATTAAACTGAGTTACTGTCTTGCAGCTCCTGGTCCCCACATTTCCGCTGCTGAGACTGTATCACTAATACAAACTATTCTTTTTGGGGACCACCAAGATGAAAGTCAGTTAAATAAGGGGAAACCCATTCCAATTAGTATCTGAAATCCAGGTTCTTTTATTCCTAAACCAGAACTCTTAATTGATGTTCTTGTGCACAAGAAGGTTGTTCTTTGTTCAATGAGCTCAGTGTATTTAATAGCTCTTAAATAAATAAGACAGTTTCTAATTGTTGGGTTTTGGAAGGAAGGGCACCATGAGTATAAATATGGGAGAATCTTTTCTTAAAGCTGGTGTCTAAATACCAAGATGAAGGATCCAGTATCAAATAAACAGAACAAAGGAATATGCACTCTGTCCTTAATGTGGAGACTGAGAAGTTAATGGGGTGCTATCTTGTATATGTGGCTTGCGTGTTGCGAAGCTGGAGTTGGGATGAAGTGACATCCTCAAGTTGAAGCCCTTGCTTTAGTTGATTTGTTATATGCTTTGTGGTATTTTTAACATCATTCTATTGTATCTTATTACCTTGTTTTTACCACTGGAATAATTAAAAAAAAAATCCCTCTCCAGCCCCTGCTGTCATTGACCATATAAATGTTTTGTTAGGAAAGTGTCAGTGGAAGTGACATGACTCATCTGTTGAGAATACGTTTAATCTCCGGTCATTTCCAGAATATAAACTATGGGTTCATACTTTAGCTCCATGACCAGTTCCTTGCTACCTCTTGATCTCATTACTTGATCGCAGCTCCTCAGTTATCCTGCTCCGTGAGTTCTCTACTCCCTTGTTAGCCACCCTTTCCAATGCCCACCTTGCTAAAGAAGGTAGTGCACTTTGTGCTATCTTCACTAGCGAGGGGGGCGGACATCCAGTGGGTGGGCTGAAAAGTCATCACCTATTACTGTGTTAAAGCACATTAGGTTGGAAACCTGACTCCTGGTGTTAGAGCTAAATTGCTTTTTGGTTTATGTTTTAATGACTGATTTACATGTTGCTCAGACTACACTACAGCCTTTGCTGTGCTGACAACCTGTCTGTATATACAAGCTAGATTACTTTGCGGATAGTTTAACAAATTAGGGTTTAGCTGACTGTTTTAAATAATTTAATGTTTATTCATGGTACAGCTAAGAACCAACAGGTATATTGCTCCTGTCCTAGTATGGTAAGTGGGGATATATATACTCGGTAGTGTCAGATCTGTTTGCAGAACTGCCTGACTTCAGCTACGTAGTAGCTAAGAGATGGTTGCATTCAGAGCCTGTGTTCTGCTGATGTATGCTACTGGGGCCTTCCATTTATATATCTGCAATCAGCTGCGTATTATACATGTGAATGCCATATGGTCTCTTTATTTCACTAAATTGTCCAATTATGTTCTTGAGCAAAGTTCTCAGCTCAGAACTGTGCATCTGTGTGAGGGAGATTTCTTTCTCCCTCTCCTTTGACTCCTCTTCTCTGGGATGTGTTTGAACCATTAATTATCCAGGACCTGTGGTCACTCCGATGTACTCAGTATTAAATATCTCATAGCCTAGTTAAGTCCCTCTTTGTAAAACCTGGGAGCAACTCACTATGAACTGTTCAAATGAATCCCATGAACAAGGTGTATTGTTCCCTGAGGTTATTCTACAGCACTTGATATCTGTACATATGGGATGCTAGTCACCCAGCATTTTACTTCTCCTTGGTGGACCACATGATAAAATCTCTCTAGAGGTTGGGACAAACAGAAGAGACCTTTGTTGGTTGTTTGTTGGTTTACATCTCCCCCAGCTTACCCTCACCCCCATACGTGCTCCTAAGCATTTCTTTGGAGTTTGCAGTCTCTCTTATTGACTTGGTTTTAACCTCATGCACAATGTAAAGTAATGGGTCACCCATCAAATCAGTGACTGTAACTGAAGATATGTTTGAATCATGATTATTAATGTATAGATGTGAGGACACAGTTAGTGATCATTGCAAGTCGTATGCAAAGTACCAATGAAGCACTGGCTGAGGAATGTATGACTTAACATCAGGTTCTTATTTGTGGAACTTGCATCATAATGAATTGCTCTTGTGCTGGATAGACCTCTGTGCTATTCAGTTCCATTAGTTATTTTCACATAGCTGCCTGTCTCCAACAACACTGCATTCTTCTGACAGGGCAGAGAGCAAATTGACAGCCTGTTAGCTTGGTTTTCTGTATCTAACTTCAATATGTATATGTGGACTAGGACAAAACATAGCCCAGAGGTTAGATAACATAACTAGATGTTAGGGCTCCTGGGTTCTATTTCTAGATCTGCTTCTGTCTTGCTGTGTGGTGTTGCTGTCACTGTCTCTCTATGACTCAGTTTAACCATCTGTAAAATGGATTTAATATTTACAGCATTGCTGTTGAGATGTAATTAATTGTAAAGTGCTTTGAAATCTTCTTATAAGCAGCACTATAGAACAGCAAAACAGTATTATGATCCTTATTAAGTTAATCTAAAATAGTCCGATAATAAGTCTGATGTAATTTACCATAATAGTCTGAATTAGGATTGTGTCAAATGCTATTGAAAGAAATCTGGTACTTACTCCCGTATCTGAGGAATATGCCAATATAACAGTAAATAATGCCCTTTGCTCGCCAGCTGACATATTAGCCAATAACGAGACTTGTTCATCCAGGCTACGTATAGTTACAAAATGTTACTGCCGGGAGAGCATTTTCTATTAGTTTTCCAGACCAGATATTAGACACTGAGGGGAGTATCAGTGAGCACCTCCCTAGGTCAGATAAAGTATAAATCCACAAACTGCTATCTCCCTGTATTGGGATTTAATGTATAAGATAAGTTGAATGAGCTACTTTGCTAGGAGCCTTATAAACTGGATGAAAAGTACAGTATGAATGTTGAATATCCTCGTATTGTGTAAAACCGGACCTGCAGGAGTGAGGAGCCAGGGGATGCCAGTCAGTTAGTGCACTAGACTAGCATCTCTAGAGTTTAAATCCTAGATAATATCACTGGACTATCCTAGTCCCCTATTTGTGCACTTCACCTAACGACCATACAGGTTTGCTCTGTTCACAATGATTAACCATCTCTGAAAGTGTTCCAGGAGGGCTTCTGCAGGCTGGGACTGAGGAGCATTGACCCAGCTATGTGTGGAAACTTGCAAAATGTTTGTCTCT